GAAAGAGTGAGCAATAGAAGTGAGACCTGTCTTGTATTCACCGATCCTATGAACACTGTCAAACAACTTTACTTGTGAGTGTTACAATAGCCTTACAAACAGTTTGTGAACATATTCCTCTAGCTCATTGCACTGGCCTTATGGGTCCAGTTGCTAGAGCAGTAAGTGAGAACAACTGTAATATAATTATCTTTAGCATTCTCTGGGTATATATCATATCTATTTGCACAATAACACTCGGACACAAAAGAAAAATGGAAAAGGTAATTTGAGCAAACAAACAGAAAAACAATTCTTCAACTCATGAGCTGTTTAATTGTGCTACAGCAGGATCACTAGAGGTAAATATGCCTCAGAGGTAAGTACATCCTTCATAAAAAGATACAAAATGAATGGAAGTTAGCACATTTAATAGTAACATCCATTTGTACTGATAAACCTTACAATATGACAAAACACATTTCCCAGAGCTTGTCTCAACAACAAACTTGTATAGAACTCATTTATAACTCTTCTCTTGAAACAAGCCTTAGATCACATTACCCTTTATGAAGGCTGAAGAGCATTCTCCTTGATGGAGGTCACCAAAATTCATCTGTGATTTAACCCTTTGACATCATCAATGGCAGTGAAAGTTTCAGGTGAGAAGCAAGCAACCAATAAACCAGAACCAGACAGTATATTTGGGTCTGAAGCTCACAACTCAACAACCTTATGCAACATAATTTTTACTGCTGTATCAGCCATTTCAGTAGCAGGCAGCTTTCTGGGATTCTTAGGGAAATTCCATTGTTTGCTTGGAATGCCTGAACACTATTGACTGTTCAGCTAATGGCAAGAACAGCTATAATCTACTTATAAACCAAGAAATCCAAGACTGAGTGCTGTAAGGGTTATCACTTTAATTTCTGAGGTGGTTATAAGAAAATGAAGAATATAATTAATTACTTTCAATGAAAACTGGATGTATAACTCACAAGGTCTTCTTAAAAATTTCCAGGTACAAGAATATGAAGGAATTCTGTAGTTGACAGCCCTTACACAAGAGCAGATATCAACATCTCAGTAAAGGGAAGACACCTATTTTAGAATTACTTCATTAACTTAAAACATAGTAATAAAGGCAGTTATAATAGGCTATAATGAGTCCATTGTTGACAAGAAAACAACTGCTTTTTTGACAGCTGCCATAGAAACCCAGCTTATGTAAGGGTGAGTATTTGGGTTATAAGCAACTTCTCTCAGTGCTTACAGTGCAGTATCTCTAAGCTTTTTGGAGCTGGGGTAGGTGAGAAATGCCAGTTTGCTGAATAGCACCAGCCTTTGAGAGTTGCCTCTTCATGTCACTTTCAGATGCCTTTGAACTCTCTGTATTGTTAAGCTGCTTTTCTAAAAATCTAGAAAAAATTGACTGTTCACCTTTCTGTGCTGTCCTGAGCCATTACTCATTTATAATGCTAATTAAGTTAAACTTTGTTAATGTTAGAGTCATTTTCATTAAAAAGAAAAGAACGGGGGAAAAGAGAGGAAAAGGAAGAGAAAGTCTTAAAACCTATGTGCAAAAATGCTAGCTATAAGCCTATAATGTGGATTAAAAACCTGATGGCCTATTTTATATTAAGGAATTGCAATGACTGCACATGCAAATATATGTAGGCAACTTTTCATAAAGCTGTATTCCTAGTTTCTTAAAAATATCTTTAAACACATGTTACCTATGAGTAGCCATACTAAGTGAGGAGATTTGTGGATAAAACAGATGCAAGAGGTAGGAAGTTAATGTTTGGGAGCTCCAAGTGACTTATCTGAGGGATGGGATCTTTATTTTATGCAATCATATCTCTTAACATTCATCATTTTGAAGTGGGTAGCAAGTGACAACAAAATTATTTTTCTGATTATGGTAACTCATTTGTCAACAGTACCATCAGTCTGGTCCTATCAATCACTCCAAGCTGATATGGGATGGAAGTGAAAATTCTCAAACTGTATGATGTGCAGGAGGGAAACACTACTGAGAAATTAAGCTTTCAGAAAAGCATAAAAAGAAAGGAAAATAGAAATTACCCTATTCAATTTCTAAAGAGGCTTTGGAAGTGATTACCAGAGAGAAAAAGGCAAAGTTATATAAGGAGAAAATAAGAAAGATTTAAATTTTGGGGTGTAACATTTCTAAGACTCAGTTCTCTAAAGACAGCAGCTGACATTTGGTGAGACAGCAAGTTACTAGGGAAACGTACATCATGCTCACTCAGGGAGGCTTATTTTGTTACAGTTTACAGAAGCACCAAGTCATTGAGGTTCAAAGCATCTCTGGAGATCATCTATTCCAAGCCCTCTGCTCTGATCAGGGTCAGCTAAACTAGGTTTCTCAGAGCCATGTCCAGTCAGGTTTTAAGCATCTCCAAAGATGGAGACTCCTCAATCTCTTTGGCCAACCTGTGATCATCCTCACAGGAAAAAAAAACAAAAGCAAAACAAAACAAAAAACAAACTTACAGTTATTTCTAATGTTTAAATGGAATTTCCTGCATTTTAATTTGTGCCTATTGTTTCTTTCTCCATGTCCCCTTAATTTGAGATAACAGTCCTTTGACAGGAACTCTGATTCTAGTGAATTAGTGTACATTCATGCATGCACATGCTTCCACTTGTGCAAAACAACACACAGCTATTGAAAATGCCAGAATATACTTCTCCTATGCATACTTATTTGTATGCCACATTATTTCATTTTGCCTCATTGTGTCTAGATGAAGTTATCCATATACTCAGTATTCAAAATTGTGCTCATTCATCAAAAAGAGCAAGACAGTTACAACATTATTTATTCTAATCATCTGCTAAAATCTTGATTTCTTCCCCTTTCATTTTATGAAAAATTACAGGCAAAGAGTGCTCAAATGTTGCCTCTGAGGCTGAAGACTTGAACACAAATGGGACAGACATAAGCTGCAGATTTTGTTTCTAACAAATACAAAAGATTTCGCCATGAACATAACTACAAACAAACAAAGGCATCGAGGAAATACATGCCAGCTGACCTGGACACTCTGACTCCTCCCAAATTTGCATCCAGCAACTGTTTCCCCTACAATGCATAAACAACACTGGTAACAGGCTGTTAACCTCATCTTCCCTAGTCACGTTGTAGCAGGTAGATTACAGAGTAACACATCCTTTCCCCTCCCTCTCCTGCTCATCTCAGGACTGCTGCAGTCCCTGCTAATCATGGACCCTGTTCCATCAGCTGTGCATCTGGGGCTGTAGCCATCACTGGCCCAGTCATCAGGGTTGATCCCAACTCCATTGGCACATGTGGGGCGCACAGTGGGCCTGCCATAGAGGGATACTCCAGCAGAGCTCAAGTAGGATGGCATGAAAGACTGCTACTGCACAGCCAGCTCTGCTTCTGCATTCAAAAGACCTTTTAGGGTCTATTTAGTGAGTGGAAAAAACCTAATGGGTGGGGCTTCCCAGACTGCCTGTTGTTACAATGAAGTGGCTGGACTTAGAAAAACTCCATTCGAGACAGGTTTTTTTATCCCTATAGATGTTTGATCTTGCCTTTGGGGCCTGATCCAGGGCTTATTTGCAAGGGTCCAACAGGCTACAGTAAGTTTATTGAGCCCTAATATCTGCCAGGAACTTCATGTTTCTTACGAGATCTTTAGCACCTTCTGCCCCTACTTTACAAGGGATGCTCAGCTCTTTCCACGGTCTGAATTGGGTACTGCAGTATTTAGATTCCTTGCTGAGCAAGGAATGCTGATCTGAAACAAGCCCTAGAGATTCTGTATTCTTGCTTGCTTTCAAATAGCTAAAGGCATCAACTATACAGGATGATGACTTGCTGACAGGTGACATTCACTTTTCCTTGCTTACTCTACCTTCTCCTTCTGGAACAGTCTTTACAGTTGCTTTGGCTTCACAGACTTGGGGCTGTTATATTATTTGTGTGTAGCTGAAAGAAGTCAGTGAACATCCCTCATGAAAGAACAGATTAAAATAACATGGTACATATTTGCTGCCTACGTGCATTTTCCAAGGAATACTCACAAAACAGTAATGTGTGCACAGGCTGTACTTAGGATGTTGAGGGTGTTGAGGTCTGCTAGATGATGATTGATAGCACGTGGCTGTAATAAACCAACAGGTTCCTCTGTTATTTGTGTGTTCCTTAATTAATATGACATGAGTATAAGGAAGCTAAGAAATAGACCTAATGTCAGAACTCACAACCCATCTTTTTACTAGAAAAGTTTCTAATTTATTCATTTAATATGTTTCTTCCCAGTAATGCTTTCTTTCATGCAGACCTGCTAAACCCAGCATTTAGAAGCTTTTAAACAGTGTAGCAAATCTGATAACTGTTCATATAACATTTTCTGCAGAAATTACCAGAAAACACTACAGAAACAGACCAGTCAATGAAGCTGACCTATAGAAGGCAAGCCTCATCTAACGTGGCAGAGTGATGGAAGTGGAACCTTGAATTGCAATTGCTTCCAGCTTGCAGACGTGTCATGTTGAATTCACTAGGTTTTTGCAACCTAGAAAGAGAAAATCCTGAATGCCCAGATAGCACCCAACATGTTGCTATTATGCAATGATGTGGGAGGGGAAATGAAACTGATTTTGTAGGAATATAAGTTTTTATTTTTTTAAGAGCTTCATTACTTTTCAGAAGGACTTACGAATCTTCATTATAGACTTCCTCTGACAGATTGTTATAATACCAATTCCTCACAGCAGTACTTAGCAATTGTCTAACTCTGTAGGCTAGTATCAGCCAGTATTTTAAGACTACAGCAACACAGCATCATATCAGAACTGGAAAACTGCATTTTCCTCTTACAAAATTTAGATTTACAAACAAGAAAAGCAGTCATGCTCAAAAGGGGAAGGATTTAGCAAGAAAGAGGAATAAGCCTCTTGTGAAACTGAAAATCACTCCCTAGAGTGAACAAAGCACGAGGCTGTACCTTGTGTAACATATTAGAAGGCTGAGGTCCATTAGCTAGGTCCTTTTTTCTGCTGGGCTGTTCATGCCCTCTTCAGGATTTGTAGTGAAATGAATAGACAAGCACTAGTGAGATTTTTTTATACTTATTCATGTAGTTCACACTATCATACCTGTAGAGAGGCTTGTTTCCAGCAAAGCCAAAGGGATAAACAATGAGAACAGTACCAAATCGGGAAAAAAATATTGGCTGAACTTAAAATCAGCTTGCTTAGTAAGAAAATGCAGTTTAATATTTGAAACAATATTTGAAGAACTGCACCTTCACAGCTGCAGTAGGCAAAATGCAATTTGAGCACTCGGAAGAGTGAAGGGAGGCAGAAGGAATGTTTGAGAGGCAAAAGGATAAATAATTACAGGAGCTGACAAAGCACCTTGAGAACAATTTCAGAATTCTGCTATTATTTTAGATTTAGTTGTCCCCAGGCAGAGCAGAAGTGAGCTCAGAAATGAATCCTTCAGATTTTATAATCAGAGTTCATAGCTTCACTGTCCTGAAATACTCATTGCTAGTATCTCAATATATGCTTGCTCAACATGCCAGAAGGCATAATGCACATGAAAATATCTCTGACCCAGCTCTAGGTAGGCCTCTGTGTTTACTGGGGTTGTTGACACTTCTAAAGCTCATTTTGCTGGTGCTGCCAGTTTTTTTGTGGGACTTCCGAATAACAACCTGCATGTCCTCAAGCTTTGCAGTTTAAAACACAATGCTTTTCCTCTAACTCTCACATGGTTTTGGTACTCACTAATGTACTGAAATGACTGAGTATTGCATTGTCAAAAATTAAAAAACAGAAGATGGGTCAAGAAAATTTTGTTTGTGCAAGGTAAATCTAGGATTAGGTCTTTTTTTGCCTCCATTTGGCTTCCAAAATCAGATTTCCCTAGTTATGTTTCAAAACTTTCCTCTACAATGAGGGCAGTCTTCAACTCCCTTTTTTCAAAAAACCCAAATGCTGAAAATCTAATGTCATCTGAGTTACAACAGCTCAGGATTTAGGAACACCAAATGCTGTGATAAACTTCAATAAAGCTGGCCATATCGTCATCATGCCTGACAGCCCACAGAACTCATCTGGGGTTTCTCATTGCTATCTGCTGTGGATTTACTGACTATTTGGATGACACTGATGACGAGATTTCAAGGAGCATCAATATGTGTCTTCAGCATGGTTTTATGCTTGCACTGCTCACTACAGCTGAGCCCAAGACAGGAGAACCAGCCCATCCCACATCCTGACCTCATGCTGCCGTGTGCAGGGCTGGATGTGGTCAGATGTAAGACTCAGCTGTTAAAGTGCCTGCAGATTTAAGCCAACCTGCTCAGCGCTTGAAGAGCAAAGATACACTCTCACAGCTCATAGGCAACTCCCCAGGTGAATTAGCTCTGCGACAGCCAGCTGTCAGACCATTTCCAGGCAGTTTAAACAAGACCAGTATAGGCACAAGAGCCAGAGCAAGACTCAAGATGCATAATTCCTGATGAATATACAGTGGCCTGAGTATGGAGCTGTCTGATGATGTGGAGGCAGGAATCAGCTGTAATGCACAGTATGCTGTGTGAGTTAAGGCTCCTAGAAAGATACTGCATGCCCTTCACAGCAAAAATGCACCATGTCATCAAGTCTTGCAGAGTGAGACAGCATACCTTTTGTGCATCTGTTGTTGGTGTGACAAGCTCTGTTCTAACATACTGTGCACAAAATCAGAAAACTCCATAAATAAAGCATAAGCATGCACAGCTTGAGCTTCAGAACTAAACTTACTCCTGGCTTTACCACTGTATTTGCTCTATCAGCTAGGGAAAAGACACTAGAAGGGCAAGACCACACACTCTCACCAGCCATCCTGACCACTTCTGAATATGTCTGAAGTAGCTGTAAGTTCAAAACACAAGCTTGTAATGGGTCATCCTGCAGGAGCACAGGGTCCTTTCTCTGCTCTTTGCAGTGGGAGGAAGCTAAACATACTCTCGCACTTAACAGAGTTACTCTGAGATCCCGGCATGGTTATTTTTACTCTCAGGATACCAAGCCCTGGTAGCATAATGTGCAGACCTTGTTATTTTTGCACTTGGTCGGAAATCTAGGAGAATTTTTTTTAATCCATCTAGAGATCAAAGACCTCTGCTTACATACAGTATTGCAGGGTACAAATAACATGTAAATAATTCATGTGAAGTGCTATCAAAACCCACCATAACCTCAACCCAAAGGCTTATTGCTGCACAAAGGCTTTGACATAGGTATTTTTTTCCTGTGGAGAAGCTGGATGGTAGGAAATAACTGCCCATACATACCTCGAAGCTTTGGGATCCCAAATAACGATGTCAGCATCAGAACCCACAGCAATTCTCCCCTTCTTTGGGTAAAGGTTAAAGATTTTTGCTGCATTTGTGCTGGTAACAGCTACAAATCTGTTTTCATCCATTTTTCCACTGTGCTGCACAGGAGTACACAAAAGCAAACTCATTACTTTTTGAAACAAGGAATGAAAAAAATGTTCCAGTTTTTGAAAAGGCTAGGATGAGTGACAGGTCTCTGCCAGCATCACATCAATATTTTTTTTTAATGTCATACCAAAAAGTTTAAAAGAAATAAAAATCACTATTTGTCTGAGATGCACAAACTGCAATGTACATTCACTGAATACAATAACTTCATTTTACTTTATCCCACAGCAAAAGGAAAAAAAGACAATTTCAAATCCATATTTTCCATGCATCCTGTCCCAAGTCATCTGAAATATTTTTTTATCTGTCTTTGCATCTGTAGTCCTGCTCAGCCGTCTCCTCAGGAGACATAACATCTCTCATAACAAGTATCTAGGTTTTGCAAATTGGTGAGTCGATATAAGGAGACCCTAGAAGATGATAAAGGAGATGTAAGGCAGAATGTGTAATATAGGAAAGGTGATTTGAAAATGTCTTGAGCTATAACACAGAGAACAGAACTGTTCAGTAAATGTTTGAGAACAAGCAGTATAAAAATCAAATTTGCTGATGTGACACATCAGCAAAATGGCAAATAATAATGGATATAAATGTGTCTTGGGACTGTTCATTGCTACATAACTAGTTTTAATCCAATCTCTGTGACTGTTGTTTGCTTGGCAAGCCAGATACACTGGCAGTCATACTGCATAGGTCACTCTACAAATCAGAATGTCATGAAAATGTGTTTGTATGTAGCCTGTGAGCCTCTAAGAAGAAAAGGATAATGAGTGGTGAACACTGCTCTTCTAACTAATGGTGTGTGTGAAGGGAATTCCACACAAATTCTCACTGCTGTGTAATATTTTACAAGTAAGGGAGGATATTCCTGATTGAAGAACCTTCTGAAAAATTATCCTGCCCAACAAGATGCACTATTCAAAAGCAGTACTGACATACTTACTCATGTTTTACTTTCACACTAACCACAAGCTAGATTATATTCTAGTTTACACAATAAATAATCACACTAGAGATATGCCATAGGTGAATATAGGCAGAAGTCTGTTTCGTACATGCCAACTTGAGCTGAATCCTAAATCAGATAAAAAGAGAGATTCTGAACCACATCCTTACAAACTGTGTGAGGCAGATAATTCTACAGTGACAAATAAACGTGCCTTGCAGTGTGTTATCAATAAGACCTCACTATTGCAAGAGAACTTAATATTAATTAGAAAGTTGAACTAGACCCTCCAGACCTTAAAAGTATTGTATTACCCAGAGCAATCATAACATCCAGTAAGCAGCAGTTCCCTCACCAGATTGCCTCACCTCCCCTCCCCGTCCCCCATCAGACTACCCCATATTCAAAAAGCTTGGCATTAGCTTTTGTATTTTTATTTGTTTGGGGCCTGAAGGGCATTGTCCTGAGAAGCACTGAACATTCTTGTGTTGGCACTGACAATGTGAAGTCAATGGGACTTGAAGATGCTTATCATCATATCACAGGCCTGACCCATACACTAGAAAAGCATTTCTTATGCCTAGCTTGTTTCCTCTGGCTAAAAACACAAATTAGAAGTCGACAGACACACACCCAGTGCAGAAGCTTCTCCAACAGCTAAGTTTGAGAGAGATCAAAGAGGAAAAAATATAGAACTGAGCAAGTTGAATCTGTGGATAACTCTTTCCTTCTACTTTCACTTGTTGAAAAAAATGCTGCAAGTAAATCTACTGCACGCTACTGCTGAAACAATAGCATTCCTTTGCTTCTAAACTATGAAAATGATCCTGTCGTGCTGTATTTTAAGCACTAAGAATCTTCTTCTATCTCCCAGGACCATAAAGTGAGACATAGTAAGGTATTATGGTATGTTATCAAAGGAGTTATCCTATGATATATACACCTGATGAAACTGGAGGGTTGATAACTGCTGAGAGATTATATTTTGTTGGAGAAATCAACTACTTCCATGTTCAGATATATTGATGTCATGGTTTAAGCCCAGTCGGTAACTCACAACTACGCAGCCGTTTGCTCACCCCAGCTTTTTCCCAACCCCCTTCAGGCAGGATGGGGAGAAGAATGGAAAGAATGTGACTCCCACAGGTTGAGATAAGAACAGTCCAGTAACTCAGGTATAACACAAAACTACTACTACTACCACCACCAATAACAATAATGATAAGGGAAATAACAAGGGGAGAGAGTATGAAACTAAAAGGAGAAAGGGAAAAACCCGATAAACACAAGTGATGCTCAATACAATTGCTTACCACCCACCAATTGATACCCAGCCTGATCCAAGCAGCAGTAGGTCCCTTCTGGGTAACTCCCCCCAGTTTATATTCTGGGCATGACGTGCTGTGGTATGGAATACCCCTTTAGCTAATTTGGGTCAGGTGTCCTGCCTCTGCTCTCTCATGGCTTCTTGTGCCCCTCCTCACTGGCGGAGTATGAGAGACAAAAAGTCCTTTATCAGGGTAAGCATTACTTAGCAACAACTAAAACATTGGTGTGTTATCAGCATTGTTCTCAGATTAAAGCCAAAACACAGCACTGCACCAGCTGCTAGGAAGGAAAAAAATAACTGTTACAGCTGAACCCAGGGTAATTGATATACTTACAACGCCTTTTTCCCATATGACTGACATCCTATCTTCCACACCATTCACTCCATTAGGGATTTTTGTGAAGTCATCCTTCCCCTGAGCTTTCTGGCATGTGTCAAAGGTGCAATTGTCAGTCCCTGTCACAGATAGGTCATCACTATGGAAAGACAAAGTTCTTTATGAATCAGAGTGCCACATCGGAAAATCCATTGCAAATCTTGCTAGATCCAGCCATCCATGCTGCAAGGAAGAACTGGTATGCCCTGCCTTCCAGTCTTCAGTCCCATCCTCCAAGTACAAGCAGTTCCCCTGTAAAGTAGTTTCTTCTTCAGAAACGTCTCAGAAGAAACCAAGCAGCAAAAGTAACACTTTTACTTTGGATATGTATAAAAGGTGTCCCACAAATAGAGGACTAATATGCTTTGCCCAGAGTAAGGAGCTTGGTTACATCCTCACTTAGGGCAATTTTAGACTGTGTCCCTCCACATACTCTTTGAAATTGTCACAGATCTGCACAACCATCAGCCAGTGTTCAGGCATGCCTTCACAGACTGGTCAAATTCAACCCTTTTGTGGAGTTAAGCTTCACTGGTAGTGAAATACCAGCAAACTACACATGCTGTTAACTGCAGGTATCCAAAGGATACTTCTATTCCTACTTCCTTCTGAAAGCAGAAGTGGACAACTTATATCTACCTTCAGAAGTCAGCAGGCTTAGTTTTTATGCAGTGTCCAAATTTCAAGTGAAAAAGACAGTTGATAACCAAACCCAGAACCCCTAGCTGTGGCCCCACTTTTTACACATTTCCCACTGACTTACAGCCATACTGTCCTCCTGGTCATGTTTCAATTTTTGGTGCAGTATTAACAAGGCAAGTCTTATTGATTAAAATCAATGGGGACAGACGTCATGAGAGTCCAGAGGAACAAAATGTGAACACTTTCTAATTTCTGCAACAAAAAATGTTTATCTATGGTTTCACCTTGCATTTCTCCTTCCTGATAGTGTTAACATTCTGTACTTAGAAAATCTCCAGTGCATCAACCTGTTGCTATATACTCCAGACAGAATCTGCTGTGTATTTGGGCATCAGCTGTCACTGTTCATTCATCTGCTTACTTGGCCAGTAAGTTCATGAGGAAATCAGGAGTAGATGGATCTGGTCTCAGTGGAGGTCCCATGACATATGCTGCAGCATGAGCCCAGTCTTCATTCCAGTAGTTGGTGCCATCGGTGCCAAGACTAGCAGCAATAGGCTCCCCATAAACCACCTTTCCTGAAAAATATAATGCAATAGTATCATCAACAAACAACGTAAAAATGCGTATCTTGTGTTTTCTCTGTTGCGGATCTTTTTGATGACAGTGAATCTAAATTTGAGTAAGTGTTTCAAATTAAACACTAACATATGGAAGGACATAATAAAATAAGCTATAACACTGTTCTGAGTATTCTGCTGGTCTCTCAATATACTTCCTCATAAGAATATTGCTTGGGCAAGTTTTTTAATGAAATTGTTGACAGATATATTATAATGGGGTTTACACATTGCTTACTAGGCCTGTGATTGAGATTTCAAAAGGAACACAGTCCTCAGTTGCATTAATTATTTTCATAAATTTCTTGGTAGCACCTGTTTGGTACTCTGAAATTATTGACTATGTAAGTTAATATATACAGCATACGGACTTCACAAGGTGATACTTTTAATCATCAGGCTACAGCTGTTCCAGGAAGAACGATATGGCACAAGACATAAACTAAAGAATGTAAAAACATTTCCCAAATGAAAAATCATCAATAATTTTAAATGTTATCTCCCAAATTTTAATCTTTAGCTCTTGCTGAATGGTATGCTGGATTCCTCAGACGAGGACACCAACCCACACCTGCTGTTAGCCTTTGGATTGAGCTAACATATTTTCGCTATTTTTATCTCCTAAGAAAGATGGGTTTGAAACCAATCAAAACAAGATGGGAGATGAAACAAGTTGTTTCATTCCATGAAGAGATGGTCCAGCCACTTTGCAGTTCTGTAGGTGACAGGTGATAATGCCCCTAACTGTGATGGTCACCAAAGAACTAGCGCAAGCAGGGACTTCATGCACCCACTCATAGGCTGCTAGGTCTTGGTTACAGACAGCCTCTGCTGGATTCCAGCAAGGATCCCTACAGACAGTAGGTATCTTGCTGTGGATCGCAGATTTCACTCAAGACACAATTTTTGCTAGATCTATCACTGCATTACCCCAGCAAGGACTCAGCTGGTAATGGTTTGACGGTATAAGACAATGACCTTTCTCTGGCTTCCTGTGTGTAAGTCGGTCATACATTCGCAGTACTGATGGAAAACAACATAGCAAACCTTTGCAGATTTCTCTCTGTACATTAGATTCTGGTATTTCTGCGAGTTATTGAGTTGTAACTGCTACACTGGCACAGCTTGCTACCATGGGGCTCAGTTCATTTCAAAATACATTTCCCACTGCAATAGTGCCATTCCTTAAATCTTCTGTGTTAGACTTGCATTAAGTCCTCATATAATTTAAACCCTACAGTTCTACCATCATTTCTACAAGGTTTCAAGACCTGTTCTGACATTACTGTACTGTACGTTTACTCCAAGTACTACATAGTATAACTTCTTCCATGACCTAAAGACTCCCTCTTAGCATTATTAATTTGCTATAACCATCTCAGCATCTTATGACATGTCTCATATTTATGGCTTCATTTGGAGCATTCTAAGCTCCCAGTCTCACTTATCTACATATATTATAGATTTACACTTGGACTCAAGGGCGAGACTATTGTTTTGGCTTGAAATCATGACTTAAGCAGTTATTTACTGGTTTTTGCATCTTATTTACAAAACTTAAAGCACTGAATATGAGGCCATCCATAGACGTGATATGACTACTCTGAATGAGGAATTTTTATGTCAGATTAGTGTTTTCCCAATTCAGAGCTGCTGCAGGAGTCAGGGGGATCTTGGCCTTCCCTGAGCAATTCCAAACACATTATTGGAGGGCAGACTGACACAAACCCTGACACAGAAACATCCTGCATATATAAACAATCTCCTATATTAACCTCACAGACTTTTGACAGATTTTTCATAAGCAAAGTCAGTAGGAAGGGGAGGGAGAGGAATGTGGTGCGGTGGTCTTTCCTAGTATATTTAAACAAGCTAAAGAAACTTCCATCCAAAGTAGACTTGAACTATGAATCATTAGGACATAGCTATAAATAATAAAAGTTAAAATTATAGGAAAAGAGTAAATGTTTAGCTTCATAAATAATTTTTTTATCTCAATTTTATAACATAAAATGAAAAGTCTCCAAGCTCACTTATATGCTGGGTCGATTTTAACTCATGTACCACAGCTGATGACAGTATTTCTGCAGTCAGAATTTGACCTGAGCAGCTCCCCTCATTCCCATGAGTGGGAAGAAGTACAAGTAATTTCCTCAAGTGATTTTGAGTCTGAACACTGCAGTTTTAAAAGACTACATCTGGACCCTTCTGCTGACTGTGCAATTTCTCACATTTCACTTGGACCGTGACTAGCCAGCCCGAAGGGTACAATAATATCAAGATTCTGCTTTAATCCAAATAACAGGGAAATTCTGCATTAAGGCACTTTTAGCTCCACTGGCAGCAAAGAAATTCTGCATTTAAGTTCTTCTAGCTTGATTGGCTTCTGCCTATAGGCATAAAAGTGGAGTAATGCAGTAATAAATCAGGTCTTTCCATTTATTATGCTTTCCTGCATTCAATAAAAACAGTAAGCAGAAAGCGTTCTGCTGATGGGTCTTTCTGACACCTCTGAGCTTCTGGAAAATAGCTGTGGACTTGGTGACTTCTTCATCAGATGTCCAAACTGGCTGGCAAGAACTATTTTCACATAAGTTACTTTATAAAAAAGAAGAACATGCAAATGTGATTTATTTTACCACTTATCAGAACTCAGAGTTATAATACTGAGAAATACCAATAAACATTCACAGGCTTGAAAAACTGGTCCCTGTGTGCTTATTCTAGCAAAAGTTTCAGAAGTACTTAATGTAAGGTCATACAGGGCACAGATATTGACCAGCTATGATCTGAAAGAAGCAGAAGTGCAAGAAAGGGTTTATTGAATCAGGCATAGCATTGCATCAATTATACAACCTCAGCCTGGACCTCAGTTGTCCTGCATGAGCTGGCTAAACAGCCCACATTTTTATTTGCACTCCTGTGCTAAGAATCAGCTTGACAGTCTGCATACCCCTAGCTATGGACATGCCCTTCCTCTCAATAAGAGGAGACCTAACCTATGACTGATGGTAGTAGGTATCAACTTCCTAAGTCTAAGCAAGCTTCTTGTAATCTGACCAAGTACTTATCTTTGTATGCACTCTTTTAAAGGGGGGAACCTTTTTAAAAAAAAATTACTTTTTAGTAAGATACTGCTTTCCTTTATATTTACGTAAAGATTCTGATCTGCATTAGAAAGTCTTATTTCCTTAGCTGTAACAGCACAGTTACAGCTACAGTTACAGCACATGATCTCTAGCCTTTAGTACACTTAAAACGAAAGCATTTTTAAGTGGCAGTATACATTTTATATCCCTAAATCACATTTTTTTAGCCTTGCTTCACCATTGGCATTACCGGCTGAAGGAATAGGCCACACTAGTTTTCCCTGGTAAGTTCACATCAAGTAGTCCTAACAAGGCAAGGAAGCTGCATTGACTGACACCAGCACTCTGCAGCCTTGTCTTCTCATTTTAGGAAAGACTTTACACAACAGCAGGCAGAGGATCCTCTTTGTCTTCCCACTCAAGGGAAGAAGACTACCATGCACACAAAGATATCAGAAGGCCCTTTTATGGAATCAGACAGTTCCTCTACCTATTTGAGCAAGATTCAAGATCCTGTTTTGCAGAGGGATGAAGAAACAACCCACTGAGACAAGCAAGAACAGTTCTCACAGAGAGGTACTGGTTTTGACCTCTCAAGTGGTGAACTAGTGACCCATTGATTTTGGCAAACAGGATGGCAGGGCCCCAGAAAAAGAACAGGATGTTAACCTGTCCCTCTCACAATTAAAACATGGAAATCTTGGATTTTCTGTTGAATATTCATCAGCAGTGTGGCTGTTACTGATGTACATGAAAAACATGCTGCTACAATCTGGAGATTTCCTTTGGTAAGTGGTGCCCCTGAAGATCAGAGTAGACATAGATGGTGGACTTTGGAATAGAGGAGAGAAGGCAGATATGTTATTTCCCTTAAGTTTGCTTATTGTAGAGTAAGAACTAGTATCCCTTTACAGTCTATATGACTGATTTTAGCTTTTAAGGTATGAGCCATACCTCACTGACGACAACAGAGTTATGCCTACTGTCTTCAGCTAACTGTATCAGGCCTTCGGTCTCCAGCTAAATAAGGGACAAAAAAGAATTGGGCTCTGGCTTATATTTTTGACTAGGAAAATTACCAACCCACAGAATTTAAGAAGCAATGCTTCAATTATGGTATCACACTGTCACCCAGAAAATAGATTACACTCACTGAAGATCAGTCTCTCCCCTTCGGAGGTCAGTGATGGAATAGGAAGTGATATCAATCTTCCTCTGACATGGGCAGGGATGAATATGCATCCACACACTGTACTTTATGCTTGGAAATTAACATGAAAAATTTCACAATTGTAAATAGTAGGAAGCTAGCATCAAGAGATGGAGAAATAAGCTTGAAAACATGAATAAACATGAATAAAGCATTACAGTGAATATTTCAAATGCTTGAGAGCCTTCTGATGTTTAAGAGTTTACACAGCTTTTACATTAAGGTGGTTTTAACCTGTCCAAGCTGAAAATCTTTTAGCAAAATATTTGGGGTTTATTTATGTAATTCATACAATATTTTGAGAATTTTTTTTCTTTTTTGTTTGGAACTCCTTGTTTTGTACTACTGCTTTTAACTGAAGAATGGAAAATAACTTCTACTGAAACTAATAACAATGAATTTCTAATTGCCAGAAATTATACAGATCAGTCTCATCAAAAACTATTATTGTTGTAACTATCTTTGCGGTACACCAGCTATATTTCAAAATGTCTTACTCAGTCCTAGATTTTTGTTTCCTAGACAGTATACATCCATGGAAATAGAAATTAATTATGGAGAGATGTTATATATGGCTGTGCACAAAGGCAAGCATTGACGACTGACCTCATCAACCCAGGAAGCTATAAAATCCAATTTGCACCACGATAAGAGTTAAGTTGTACCAAATTCTTCATTTTTACGCATTGAAGAAGCATACATATATCAAGTTAGTTATCAAACTGGCACTGCAGACTATTCTTACAACAAAGCCTAACAATATTATACAGTATTTATGATCAGCATAGGATTTTTTACTTCAACAGTGTGTTACAAAACACCACTTCATATCTTAGCTCTTTCATGTTCACAGCCAGTGTTTCATCTTTAAATCTCTTGTAGTTAATGTTGACATCACACCTGTGAATGTATAAATAACCGTACACTGATGGATATAATCCACATCACCAGCAGCACTGTCATCTAGTGGAGGAATCTAATATAGCACTGTATTGAAAGATGTTCTAGTAAAAAATATTCTGGTAGATTCCTTTATATACTTGAATTACTGATAAGTCTTACTAGAAGTCATAATCAATATATATTCTACATATATCCATCTATATTAGCACAATGGTTTCATGCACTTTGGTCAAGATCTCATACTCCAGATTTTGCTATTAATAATCTTCACTTGCTGTGCAAGAATTATCTGAAGTCAAGAAATAAGGAAACTGAGATCTGTATGCAATTCATGTAAGGTCAGATGATGAGGACAGATATTCCATAAAGTTTTAGGCCCTTCAAATAATGAGCTTCTGTCCTACTTCTTCCACCCATATAATGTCTCCTCACAGCACTGTGGTTCCACAGGCTGCCCTGGCTAGATGAACCCACAGCTGAGGAGGTAAAAACATCCTGAATCCCTACATCTTTCAGGCTACTTCAAGCCTGACCAACAAATAGTCAAGAGAGTCAGGCTTTCTTTGGCTGACCAGAACTATTTATAAACCTTGCAGTGCATGACCTGAGAAACCCTTCCCTGACAGACTCAATGCTTTCAGATGCTGCCATCATCACCATGATTTCTAAGTGCCCAGTAAATAGGAATCCTTGTCATGTCATGGCACTGCCTGCAAAAACGTGATGTGGTCTCTGTTGTAGAATTTCTCATGTAAATAGCTGGTAAAGGCTTGCAGATTATAACTCAAGGGAGAGGAATAAAAGAGCAACATGTTGCCTTGTACTGGTCATATGATTTTGAAAGCATCTTGGAGGTACAGCACAAAGGAGAAAAAAGTTTGCTCTGGGGAGAATGGAAAGTCTCAATCCCATTTGCTTAGCTCTCTTTGGGCCCCACAAAACACACACAGTTTAGACATCCCACTCCAAGAAATTCACCCATGTTCTGAGGGTTATGGCACCCATGACAAGTAGATCACTGATGCTATGTTGGGTTTTCCATGACCCTTTCTCTAACGTCATAGTCCAAGCACAAAAGAATTAGGACGTTTACCTTCTCTTCGTGCAGTACTTATCAACCTTCCTGCAGATTTACTCATTACGTGGACTACAAAAAGGGGGCAGCTTACAGCATTTGCTATGGAAATTGCTCTTTGTGTAGCTTCAGCTTCCACTTCTTCAGGACGAGACAGTGCATGCCCCTCAGGGCCAGTTATTCCCATTGCCAGCATCTTCTTTGCACCCTGAACACCACACAAAAACATGCACGAGTCAGATAAAGCATGACCATGGTGTCATGAACATGCCACTGGCAAAATGGATCCTAAATGAGCCACTACAGCTAGTTTGAGATAAAAAAAACAAACAAAACAAGGTAGTTATGATATTTTTTGAAATGAAGTTATTGTTGTGTTATCTGAAATCCAATACATCTCTTAATAAACGCAGGTCTCAGAATATCTATAGTGACTCTAGAGAACACACTCTTACTGGCTTGCAGGGATAAATCACCCCTTTGAAAGCCCTACGCCTCTCTCAATATGTACTTTTAAATGAACACAGCCAGTAACTGAGGTGACAGCACTAACCCCTCACTGGAAAGGAAAAGGAAAGATCCTTACTAAGCACAGATATACATCCAGAGCCTCCGAATGAGGCTCCAAGGTTTTAAGAGGCCTAAGATTTTGACAGTACTATATTACAGGAATTTATGCTTTGCTGATTTGAGATTACTTAGCAATAAATTCATTTCTATTATGGGACCTGGGGCAGAGTCAAAGCACTATTGACTAGAATAGTTGAAGAAACTCAAAGGCATCAGTGTAGTTATACTCCCAGAACCTCCACACAGCACTAAGATGTCAATAGCAAGTGTGAAGAGAGTCTAACTAGGCACAGAGGGACCTGTTAATAATTTTGTATAATTAAATTGTAAGTATGAAGGGTGGGACTTTCGTGCCCAGTCAGTGAAGCTTTCTCGGTACTTCTGGATTCATTCCTGTTAGATAAGCAGACTATGTTTGGAGAGACCTAGGGTTAGGCATTACATACCTGACGTCTACATACTTGGCTGAGTGTTCCCCCTTTGACTTGGTTGATGATCAGGCTTTGACTATTGTTCTCTTTGTCAGTCAAGTATATATATGTTGAAAGTATACATATTATAATGCAAGTATAACTCTCACTATAACAAACAGGATCATTTGCCTCCTGTCTACCCTGAAACCAAGACAAGGTTACAATTTCTTAGCTCACTACAAGCATCTTTTACAATCTTGGACAAGAATGTTTGTCCTCAGTTCCCTGGAATTAAAATAGGGTAGAAAAACCTTTTCCTGTGACACAGTGATGGTACTAATACAGCTATTGAACTGCTTATAAATGGCAACAGAACCATTTATATTCTTGACTTTAATGGACAAAATGTCGAAGGCCCACCTGTGCAATTAGCTCCCCATTCTCTGCATGGACTTGAGCAACAGCTCCAAGTTCCTTACAGCAGCAAAAGGCTTCATATAACTCCTCATCATTGAGCATATATACATCTTTATAGGCCATAAACATCTTGAAGGAGTTGACGCCTTTGTTTTGAACAAGACTTTTCATTTCTTCCTTCACCTGAAAGACAGCAGTTTTCAAAAACCAGCAATATTATATTTAATCTGTTAATAATTTTATATAATGAAATTGTAATTATGAAGGGTGAGCCTTTATTCACCCATCAAACATACATTTAGTCCGAACAGCCCAAGTCACATATTTAAAGACTGACTTATACTATTCTTCTTGTATCAAATTCATCCTCCAAGTATATAAACGAGTATCACTGCAGTGCAGATATTAGAGGTACAAACTAATTGCAGGAAGGGAATGATTTTTACAAAAGAAAGCAAAGCAGCATTTCACTCCAAATAAATCTCTTGATGTTCAAAACACCAAATCCAACATTACAATCAATGTATTCAACTTATACAGTATGGAGTTGTGAGCAAAACTGATTTTCAAAATTGGATCATAATAGGCTTCATCATCTGGCAAATAACCGTGACAGAAAAGATCTTATATCCTAGGGCTTTGTCCTGACTCTAAACAACAACACACAGCTTTTGAAATATTTGTCATCAAACAAACATCTTTTCCAAAGAAAGAAAAGAGGCAGGTTTTAGCCCAAAGGTTTCTTGTATAGCTGGTTAGCTAGAACTAACCAGAACTATCCGTTACCTAACTAAGGCTCTCTCTTCCCAGTAAAATGATGGTGACACTAATCTGTGATACTATTACTATTTCCACAGGATTAATTCCTTTCAGAAAGTAAAACATCGTTTTTCATCTTCTCTCTAATTATCTGGTTGGATCTGCCTAATAAAGGTTTGATATAAAACTCAAGGAAATTTTCTGGACTTATCCAGAGGAGGGATGGGAGCATATCTTGAGTGGGAATAAATACCTGACGCGAGATCCTGCTCTGACACAAATATAGAGGCATGTCATTTATTTTCTTCTTCACTATTTACCATGACTAAGGGAAAACTCTATAAAGAATGTATGTTTTTAATCAATACTTTCAAACCTGAGGAGATGATAGCTAATTAGAACGGCATGAAATATCAGTCGTCTTTACCCACATCTTTTATAGCTACAAAACATCAGACTTTTCTATTTCTTTCAATCTTGGCCTTTGAAAAAAGTTAACTTCTTAACATAAACCAGAAAATTTCATTGATTTACACCCCACTAGTTTTATTGGATTTTTCAGTACAATGCCACTGTTCTCTACTGAGGCTGTTTCAAACACACATTCCTCAGACTTCACTGGATAATTTATTTTATGTCTTTGCTTTGAGCTAAAAGTTGCAGTCAGTTTATTTAGTGCTTAGTGCTCGGAATACCAAAGATGGAGTGTTTGCAGAATGAAGGCTTTGGTTCATACATGTTAAAAGTTAAAAATTAGAGAAGGTACTCATATTTTAAAATGGAATTTACTTAATATATCTATGTACTGATGCACATCCTCTGAGGATCCAAAGTGCTCTTGTAAAACATGGAGCAGGTTCAGATAGATGTCAAGCACCTGAAAAGTTAATTTATTCAGTAAAGGTTTCAGGCTATCAACAGACTTGCACAGAACAAGAACAATTTTCCAATATGTAAAATCCAAAAAGGATTTTTAGATAATCTGATATTCAAGTAACTATTGGCTGCAGTCCGGCTTTACCTTATGGAGATATTACTGGAGTCAGTAAAAACAAAAAAACACTACCACCACCAAACCCCCTGCAAACAAACAAACAAAAAGCCAACACGACCAAGAATCATCAGGAGCATAAATTATCAAGTGTTCAAGAAATAAAAGGCAAAATTTATGCAAACACCTCTTGCCCCCTCTGGCTTGCCTGGTCTTGGTCTTGCACAACTGCTTCCTTTAACTATGTGCAGTATTAGCCAAAGACACAGGCTATCTGCAGACTTACTTACTTTTTTTTTTTTTTAAATACATGTGTTTTAGAAGGGTTTGGACTATTTCAAATGTAGTTTTTATACACAAAAATACTATTACACTGCCAGTAAGCTATATTTAGCACATGAAGATTAATTCCTCAACATAAAAAGTACATGGAGCTGTTGGAGCAAGTCCAGAGGAGGGCCACGAGGATGATAAGAGGACTGGAGCACCTCCCGTATGAAGACAAGCTGAGAAAGTTGGGGCTGTTCCGCCTGGAGAAGACAAGGCTGCGTGGCGACCTCATAGCAGCCTTCCAGTATCTGAAGGGGACCTACAAGGATGCTGGGGAGGGACTCTTCGTTAGGGACTGTAGTGGTAGGACAAGGGGTAATGGCTTCAAACTTAAACAGGGGAAGTTTAGGTTAGATCTAAGGAAGAAGTTCTTCACAGTGAGGGTGGTGAGGCACTGGAATAGGTTGCCCAAGGAAGCTGTGATTGCTCCAACCCTGGCGGTGTTCAAGGCCAGGCTGGACAGAGCCTTGGGCAACATAGTTTAGTGTGTGGTGTCCCTGCTCATGGCAGGGGGGTTGGAACTAGATGATCTTAAGGTCCTTTCCAACCCTAACTATTCTATGATTCTATGATTCTAATTCAAAGCAGGTATGGTACCGATTCATGGAATTGAAAAGCAGCTATCGTGTCTACCTTATTGCTCCACCACGTAACTGCCACATGCAGGGAATAGTCACAGCAGACTTTAGGGTCTGCCCAGCTTTTCCATGTGTCAAAGGCTTCAATCAGAGAACAGCCTTTCTGAGGGATGGCAAAGTCAATGATCATAGTAGTTCCTCCCGCTACAGCAGCCTGAAAGGAAGGAAAGTTAATATTTAGCAGTCGGAGAGAATGCAGATTTCCTCCCACCCTCTCCAATTGCCTGTGCAACAATTAATATTGATACAATGAAAAGCCAAAACTCACTGAAGATCTCCCCCGAGTAAAGTCTGAACTTGCAAAATTATTGTGGAGATTAATTTTGCCTCCTTTGAGAAGGCTGTTCTCAAACAGGTGTTCAGGAGAATCACAAGGAAAGTCTCTACTGAAGGAGAAGTTTTCACACATGTACAAAATCTTATGAAAATTTTGGAGATGAGTTTGCAGCATTGATGCATCAGTGAGATTCCTGAAGCAGGCGGGATCACTGAGAAAGAAGAGCATCAAAAGACCATAGTCAACCTGAGAAATGCTTCCTCAGAGTCTTCGTAGATAAAAAAACCAAGCCTATGTCATGGGAAAGTATTGAGAAGCAGATACACAATGAAAAACAACAGATTCAGTCTGAAAATCTACTTTGAAAATCCCTAAACTCTTGTCTAATACCAAATTATTACCTTTTTTTTTCTTTGAAGGATCTTTGTTAGTCCTTCCCAGACTAACCAGGTCCTCAAGTAACAGAAATTGACCCAATATAGAATTTTTTGCTGTGATTATTGTAGTCTTCCAGATTGCCGTAATTGTTGCAATTAGCCAGAGAAATCTCTCTTGCTCTGAACAACATCCCTTTGCACCCCAGAGACAATTCAGATCAGATTTATGCTATATTACTCTTCCTCTTTCTAGATCAACCAGTCCCTTCCTCCTCTTCGTTTATCAATTAGAAGCAAAATTGTAAATATGTCAGTATATTTTGCAAAAAAAGGTTTGGAGAGTGACATAAACATCTGTGAATCTGTGATGAACTGAGCAAACATTTTCTCCAACTGAAGTTGTTCAAACTGTCAAATTTTTTTCAACAAGACAGATTGTTTTTCTATTTTTTAAACAGGATTTAGAATTTAAGAATATTTATAGACTTGAAGAAAAAAAAAAGTCATGGGCTCCACAACTCCACTCAAATTCTCTTTTTTCCCTAACATCTTTTCTTTCTCTCTCTTTGTCAAGAAAGGTATTCTGCGCCTTTATTTATTCGGCTGAAAGGGTAAACCTTAGCTAATCATTGTAGCATATTTTGCAATAGTTGGAACACAGCTCTATCTCTTGCCAGAATATCTGCAAGATGATGACCTTCAGTAAATAGCTCTGAACACACTGACACTTTAACTTGGGCTAAAAGGGTCCACAATATCTAACTTTTTGACATCTGATCACTTGGCTGAATCTAGAGTCTTCTCTCAGGCACTATCTGCTCATCCTGTTTTGTGTATGCAGTCTCTGTTTTGCAGCTTCCCTTATCAGTGACTCAAAAAAATGATTCAAAAAACCTCAAATCTAAAAAGAAAAAAAAACTACCTTTTTTTTTTCTGGGGTTTTTTTTCCGTTTTATTTTTTCCTTCCAAGTTTATCTCCCCTACTTTGGGATTTGACAGTGCAGGTACCTATATCTGAGTTAGTCTGCATCTTTGTTTCTTGTTAAGCAATGGAGGCATTTTAAGAATGCAATCACTTACGCCTTGTGAAGGCATCCTAAAAGACAGCCACAGTCACTGCTATTTCTTTTACATGTTTTCTCCTGTCAAAAAAAAATCATCTTCTGGCTTTGTCACATTTGTTTGACTTTTCTTGCACTGTCAAATTTCTAGATGTACCATTGATAATTAGTTTACAAAAGTGGTCTTCACAGAGAAATAAAAGATTGTTGCAGAAAATTAAAAAATATTAATATATATATTCATGTACTATCATGTAAAGTAAGTGTTCCAGAAATCAAATTCTGCACGTCATACAGCCAGGAAACATATTCTGTGTTGTCTGTAGAGAAGCAGAACAGACACTGTGGTCTTGATTTTTTTCTCTCCATTTATCACCAAAGGCAGTGTCAAGGTCAAAATCTGCTTGTGGAAGCCATTATGGTAACTATAATTTTTTTTTTCCCCAAAAAAATAATATTCCCTGTCTATGGAAAAAGATTCCCATTATCACATTTATAATCCCTTTCCAGCTACCAGTTCTGGAGGTGGAAATTCCATGCTGTAGCTTTCCTTTTGCATCTTATCTTACATTTGACTTGGAGATATGTCATGTTTGATATAGCGGCCATTTTGGGATGGCAGGAAAGATCTGCTGCTAGGGACAAAATAATTTTTTGTCAAAGTTTTGCAGGATAATTACAGTCTATTATAATGAGCCACTACAACTTTTGTGCTCCTTGAAAAGAACAATTTTAGTACTTAAAACTATCCAGTGTAAAATATTTCCATTCAAATAACAGTAGCAACACCAGCAAATCTATCTTGAGTTGGAACAAATATTGTTATTGAAAGAAATATGCCAGTAATTTAAGGATAGCATATAGGTCATATGTAATCTTCCCTTCAGTACACTGGAGTCAACATTAGAAAAAGTCAGCTCCTTGTTAAGAGTATGGAAATGCACAATTAGGGGGAGACAAGACAAGGACAGGTTGGACAGGGCTTGGATAAACTGGTCTAGTGGAAGGAACTAGATGAGCTTTAAGGTCTATTCCAACCTAACCCGTTCTATGACTCTATGATTAAGTCACTCAAGCTAAACTGCACTCTCATGACATGATAGGGCAAGCAAGAAATAAAAATTCTTGTTAAAGAACAGGGTCAATCTAAGCAAGACTGCAGACTTTAAAGGTTCTTAATAGTTGTGTGATTACTGCACCACACCATTTGTTAAAATGAGTTTAACTTTTTCAACTATTTCAAAGAAGAAAACTGGTATTTTTCACATCAGAAAAAATGTACATTGATGAAATCCATTTATTTTGAAGGTGTGCACTACACTATCATTTTCTGCTTTTTAGCAAACCCCAGCTCTGCTGTGAGAAGGACAGGATATAACAGGCTCTCTAAGGATGCTGGTTAACAGACAAGCAAAGTAGGGCATTGTGATCCCTTCTGTAGGCAAAGGATTTCAGCCTGCACAGCAAAGCTCTTAGAGAAGTACTTTGCAAATTTTAGGGAGCTGTGTGTATTTTTAGTATATGGAGATGATGCACAATACTATTAACAATAGTAACTGATACACTGCTAATGTAAGGAATGCCATGAGATCAGCTAAAAAGCTGGAAAAAAACCAACTAAAATACTCCAAGTATAAAACTGGGAGAAATAAGACACTTGTAGAAAGCGTATTTGAACTGGGCTCTTTCACTGGGAGACACAGTAAGGTGTGCAGTAAATGAATGACAAAGAAAAGCTTGCACTGCCCCTTGTGAAACAGAGCAGAAAGATCAGATTACCACAGAGGTGCTCCCAGGACACTGGGGAATTACACTGTTGATTTAGTTAACCTTTGCTCGGAAAAGTATACGGCTTGTTGCATGCACCAATGGAAGCTGTAGTCCACATGACAGCCAGGGCAAAGGACTGCACTTAACACTTGCCACCTGCAACCAGAAAAGTCTCTGAAGGAACCCAAATAATACACTGCTTGAAGGTGGACCTCTGAGTACCCCAACTGCTTATGACAGTGTCCCAGCCAAGGGACAGTAACAATTGCCTGTGCTCGATTCACACTCCCTTCTTTTAGAAGTACTATTGAATAATTAGCAGGCATCCCTTTCTACGAAAGCCCAAATGCACACACAGATACGCATATATGCACCCACCTTGGTTCCTGAGTAGAAGTCATCTTTTGACCTGCTACCCATAAAAGGGAACTGCATGTGTGTATGGGTATCGATGCCCCCAGGGATCACCAGCCTATTGGTTGCATCCAGCACAACGAGTCCAGTCAGTGGCTCAGGGTTTAGGTTTGGTCCCACTTGCTGCACGACTCCATCTTCCACATACACATCAGCCTCCACAGAGAGATCATCGTTCACAACTTTCCCCCCCTTGATCAGAAGCCTCTGCTGAGCCAGGTTCTGGGGTGGTGTGGGAGCCTAGAAGGCAAAAGTGAGGCTCAGAAAGTTGCTCTTGCCTGAAAGTATTTCACTGCCCACCCTTCTCCCAGAGCAGGGGTTATCTTCAAATGGCCCTAAACACATACCCACACAGTGCTCTTTAAACAGAATTGCCCCTCTACACTTGGCAGCTCCTCCTACAGCCTCCACTGGAGGACCAATGCCCTGTGAACACAGTGAGACGCCCACAGGATGGCAGAGTGTTGGCTTCGGGCCCTTTCTGCTCCAGAAACAAGGCTAGGCTTTCGAGAGTGGCTGGCTCATGGCCTGCCCTGTATACACCAGGGTTTGAAACATGCTGGGCTGTTTTGACAACGTGGCCATTCATCAGCTTGTGATGCCCAAAGTGACTCAAGCTCTTTGTGGTGGGGTTTGAGGAAACCAAGGAAGGAAACCAAGTGTGACCTGAGCTCTCCACAGGAGCGCCCAGGGAGCCCAAGGGTGACCTGACGCCACTGCAGCTTGTGCAGGAGCGCCGGGGGAGCACCGCGCTGCAGTGCTCCAAGCATTGTGCCCATCTCA